ATGTATGGAAGCAAATTGCTACCATATTTCAAATGAAAAAGCATTTCCAGAAATGTTTCAAAATGAAAAAAATTAGGAATCAATCATCCTATTTGCATTTTTATTTTCTCCTTTAACCTTGCTCATATTTTTACTTAATTAAAATGAAAAAGAGACATTTGAGATTTATTTTTCAAAAAGTACCCCAGCAAATACATACCAAAATTCAATTTGAAATGTAAAATTTGAAAATGAAAAAGCATTTCCAGAAATGTTTCAAAATGAAAAAAATTAGGAATCAATCATCCTATTTGCATTTTTATTTTCTCCTTTAACCTTGCTCATATTTTTACTTAATTAAAATGAAAAAGAGACATTTGAGATTTATTTTTCAAAAAGTACCCCAGCAAATACATACCAAAATTCAATTTGAAATGTAAAATTTGAAAACGAAAAAGCATTTCCAGAAATGCTTTTTCATTTTAAGAGTGTGGCTGCATTGTTTGACTCATAAATAAAATTAGTAATCAATCATCCTATCTACATTTTCTTCTTTAAGGCTGCACATTTTATGCTATAATCAAGGAGAAAACACAGCGGACATTGCTTTTTCGTTTACGTGGTCTGCCTGCAAAGTACTGTCCATGACTCAAAAACGAAAAAGCATTCTGAGCGGCGAGGGCAGCAGAGTGACATCAGCAGCCGCTCTTCCTCAGGTCCTTGCTGACCGGGCTACCCATCTTGTTTGGTAGGGGGCACTGTGTACGTCTGCACTGCATTACATTGTAAGCGTGCCGGCGGGAAACTCAGGAGCAATCGGCGTTGCCACAGGTCCTTTAGAAGCAGGCACTTGCTTTAAAGCAGCAGCGGCCTCCATCAGTAGCTCTGCCACTGTTTTGGTCATTGTGGTCGTTCAGTTTGTCCCGATAGTCAGATAGTCAATTTAACCAGTTTCCCATCGGCACGCTTACATGTAATGCAGTGCAGACGTGCACAGCTAGAGGGCTGAAATTTTTCGCATTTGTGGTTGACAGGATGTAGAACAAATCTAATAAAATGAGACCTGCCTGTTCTCTGTTGAACTGCTGTTCAAAAAAGATCATTTTAGAGAATAAAAAAAAACTTTGAGTCATGTTTGAACTGATGCAGCTTGGTCTGTGTTCTACTCACCCAGTTTTTATTTATATTTTTTAGAAACTAGAAGGTGTTAGCTTCCACACACATGTAATGTGGGCTTACAGTGACTCAGTTATTTGCTTTTCCATCTGGGGATGTAAAATAGGCGAGAATTATTTCAAAATGAAGTGGATGTTAATTAAAGAAAAACAAGCAAAGCGTTAAAGAGTTCAGATGGTTTGTATTTCTAAACAGTGCAAATTTGACACTAAAGTCTCAAAAAAAACACACAAACCTCAACGAGAAATTCAGACAAACTATAAGAAGAAACATCTCATAAAAACCACAAATACTTAAAATATTAAATGTATCCTGTTACAGAAAGATAAATGATTTTTTTTCTCTATAACTTTTCACAAATGGAGTCACTTGTTTTCAGAGCAAAGAAACGTAGAAACAATAAAAGTGTCGATGCTGTTTTTCTTAAAATCTTTGGAAACTCTCTTTATGGCTTTCACATTTAAATAAAAACCACTTTAACGTTTCACTTCAGTAACTTAGAGAAAATAAATAAAAAGAGTTTCTTTAAAAACATCTTTGACCCGTGAAGTTTCTTTTTTTCTCCTCTCGTAATCCTTCCGAAGGATTTTAATCTTAAAAAGGCACAAAGAAGTGAAACCCCCCGTGGGAACGGGAGCTCAAACTGGTTTTGACTTTTTGCAGAAAAATAAAAAATCACAGATTTGTCCGTGGGTTCCTAAAAATATGGCTCAGTTTTCCAGAGTTTGGCTTCTTCCTCACTGAACGACGCACTTTTCTTTCTGCTCCTTGGCGTACTTCCTCCTTCGCTGCTCAAGGCTGCGGTTCAGACGCTCGTCTTCCTCCAGGGCTCTAAAAACAAAAACAATCAAAATCGTTTATTATAAAACATATTCAGAATGTTCAAATTTAAACTGCAAAAAAAAGAAATCTCAATAAGTGATTCCTTCTTAAAATAAGTGCATTTTTTCTTTAATTGAGGAAGAAAGTGAGACGTTTTACAAATGGAAGAAGAAAATTTACATTTAAAATAAGAAATGCTTTGTCTTATTTCAGGTGCATATTAACTAATTATCTTATTCTAAGAGTATAAATCCTGATTTTATTGGCAAATCATTTTATTTACCTGCTTAAATGAAGGGTTAATACACTTCTACATTGTTTTTGCAGCATATATGGTAAAAACAACACTGGAAAAATTTTCTTACATTAAGTGTATTCACCCTTAATTTGAGCAGGTAAATTAGTATTTTTACCTTTAAAATAAGAAAATTAGATAATATGTGCTTTAAATTGTTCTTATTTTATAATGTAAATTGTCTTGTTCCGTTGGGAAAGTGTCTCACTTTCCTCCTCAATTCAAGAAAAATTGCACTTATTTAGAATTCAGTGTTTTGCAGTGTAAAGAGCCCAGTGAAGCCAGGTTAGGGCTACTAGTCCCAGGAATTGGACCCTGCTTGGCTGTGCAGTGATTTGTCCCAATTTTGGAAACAAAAAATTGATAAGAACCTGCAAAAAAAAAAATATATCTTATTAAGTAATTTTTTCTTGAATTGAGGAGGTAAGTGGTTAACACTAAATTTATTAAATCACCGCAAACGTATTAGTTTTAGGTATAAATATTGATCCATTGATCATTCCTGGCTGACCTGCCTTTCCTTTAAAGGGCGTTTTTTATCCCTTACATCCAGAGATGGGAAGTAACGAAGTACAAATACTTCTTTACTGTACTCAAGTACATTTTTCTGATATTTTTACTTTACTTTACTACTTATTTTTATGGCGACTTTTTACTTCTACTCCTTACATTTTAAAAAATTGTCTCGTTACTTTA